CGCCAGCCGCTACAGCACAGATTCAATTCCCGGCCAGCAGGAGAGCTACCCACATGGTGCAGTAGACCTCTCCTGTCTCGCCTGCTGCTCCCCTCAGCAGTGTACCTTGGTCGATCTGCCTTTTCTGTTCCCTTCTCTGTCTCTAATGAGTCCTCTCACCCCCCACACACACCTCTGGCCTGTACCCCAGTTCTTGTATGCATAAATAAATCTTTTTTAAAAATGCAAGAAAAGAGAAGGGTTCACCTGGTAGATAGGACGCTGCCCATGTGCTTATCCTCTGGGTCTTTATATATTCTTGGTACCTCTCACTAAAAAGCAGCTATTTTTATTTTTATTTTTTAAAGATTTATGTATTCATTCATACAAGAACTGGGGTGTAAGCCAGGGGGTTAGAGGATTCATCAGAGACAGAGTAGGGAACAGAACAGGTGGATCTACTGAAAAACATTGCCGAGGGGGATCAAACTCATGCTACAGAGGTTGTTGATAGCTTCACAGTGCTGTGCTTAACCCCTTGCACCACCAGGGAGGCCCCAGGTGAGCCCTTCTAAAGTGCCACCAGTTGTGAGGCCTCTACTAGGGCTGGATCACCTCAACTGTCTCCACTGAGAACTAACAGGATTGGAGCTCTTGCCATTACCTGTGACATTCTCTCAGGCAGGCTCTTATACACTCAACACTATGTATGCATGATTAATCTGAATTCACCAAATGAAGAGCATGGTAACCCACAGGACTTTGCCCAACATTTGTTTTCACCACAAGAGTCAGAAAGATGATTGTCACGTGAGATCTACTAGTGATTGTATCAGCCATTTGTTAAATTGTTCGCTTGAGGGCCTCCCTGTGGTGCAGCGGTTGAGCGCTCGTCTATGAAGCTGCCTGCAGCCTCTGCAAAGCCAGTTCAATCCCTGACTGCCAGGCGAGGGTCCCACATGGCGCGCAGACCTCTCCTGTCATGCCCGCTGCTCCCCTCAGCAGTGTATTTCGTCAGTCTGCCTGTTCTGTTCCCTGCTCTGGCTCTGGTGAATTCTCTCACCCTCCCGCGCTTCTGACTGTGACCAGTGCTTGTATAAATAAATAAATAAATCTTAAAAAAAAATTGATCCCTTGAGTAATTAATTGCTATAAATCAATCTCTTGGATTGCTCCACACAGAGTCATTATTGGTGCCTTGCACATGACAAAAGTGTGGGCAGATTGCTGGGGTTCAATTCCCAGCCCAGAGACTTCAAAGCTTAGTGTCCTTAGACAAATGACTTAACTCTGTCCCTGACTCAGTATATTTGTCAGTAGAATGGAAGTAACTGTAGCATTGATAACAAGGGATGGTTGGGAGGATTTGAGGAGGTAAGCAAAATATAAGATGTTTAGCATGCACCTGGCATACACAGAGCTCAGGAAATATTAGTTATTATTGTTATGTTGTTTATTGCCCCAGTCTATGGATTGTTTTTTCCCTCTAAACAGCTATTTTTAGAGTAAAAGTATTAATTTTGATAATAAGCCCCTCATCAGATATAAGTATGTATATATGAGTGTGTATACATATATACATGTATCTATGTGTGTTGTAAACTAATCTATGGTCACAAAAAGCATGTTTTCTTGGTTGGGGAGAAGGAGGAGGAAGGGATTATAAGGAAACATGAGGCACAAGGAAACTTTTGGTACATTCACTCTCTCAGTTATGATGCGGTTTCATGGGAGTATGTATAAGTCCAAACATATTAAACTGTACACTTTAAATATTTGGATATTATTGTATACCAATTGTCTCTCGATTAAGCTGATATATACATCATACACACACACACACACACATACACACAGTGAGGATTTTAACAGTGAGACTGTGAGCACTTTTTAACATTTGAAAATATTTAAACATTCACCCTTCAATAGCTATTTGCAAATCTTCTGGAGAGTCACCCATTTTCTTGTTAGTATCATTAATTCATTTCTTTTTGTTGCTAAGTTATACTCCAGGTAGCTCTTAAAGTTCATTTGGTAGTTTGTTCTCTGAGCATTTGGAGGCACAGTCCATCTGGAGCTTCTTCCCATACCTAATCTAGACCTTTCCTCTTAACCCAGGCTGGAAGCCCATCCGCATTCCAGGAGCAGACCTTGATGGTGGCTGATTTGCCACTAGGTGAGGTTTCCTGAACCAGGAATTCTCATAAGGAATGGTCCCTCTCCTGCAGCCTCTTTTTTGTTTTTCTTTTCCCCCCACCTGATTCTTCTTGGCCTCTGGCTCGGTCTTGTGCTCTTTCTCATCTGCTGCCTCCTTTCCCTTTTTCCCATGTTTCAGCATCACTGTAACAAATTCCTTTCCAAGTTGCCCACAGAAATAGTATTTTCAAAACCTTGCCCAGGCACAAAGAATTTAATGTAATTATTAATATTGCTGTTTAAACCCATCATCTTGCTCATTTTTCCCTATCTGCAATTATATCCTTCATTCTTGACCTTTTTTGGATTCAGAATATTTTAGTATTCCATTTTCTCACCTCTATTGAGTTTTTGGATATATACCTTTTGTGTGTGTGACTAGCCTAAGGATTAGAACATGAATCCTTAACATGCTAATTTGTCCTGAATTAATAGTACACCTGTTCATGTATAAGAAACTAACAACAGCATAATTCCATTAGTATCCTCCTCCACTTTGTTATAAAACTAACAATACCTTGTTATTATATTTAGCTTAAATTTTCATGCATCTTTAAAGAAATCAAGACAGAAAATATCTTCTATGTATAAGCGCCATTTCTGGTGTTCTTCGTTTCTTTCTGTAGATTCAAGCTCTATCTGATGTAACTTTCCTCCAGCTTGAAGAATTTCCTTAGCCTATCTTGTAGTTCTAGTCTCCTGGCAATGGGATTTGGGTGCCTATCTTTTAAATTAAGGCTTAAGAATTCATCCAATCCCAGCTACCATTTCTGTTGCATTGTAGGATTCAGAGAACCCTCGTAATCTCTGGGTATGAACTCATCCCATCCCGAAGCCCCAGAAGCCCCTTCCTGGCAATCTGAAGGGGAACTGGGTTTGATATGATCAAACACGTTCCTGAGAATGAGGATAATAAGGAACCTGAAATTGTTCCCCATGGTGGCCCAGAGGAAGCTCTGTCTTCCTTCCAGTCACGCTTCCATACCAACCTCAGGATCCGTCTAGACCTCCTACTTGGGGGAGAAATTGCTAGACTGTTTATTGGAGTAAGTGTTGCCTGAGATAATCACCCTTCAGATCCCTTTTCTGATCCCTCTATGATCTATTGGTAGCAGAGGGTGGGCTCCTGTTTGTGAGAAATGACCTATTCCCCCTGCCCTATTCATTGTACTGCTAACAGACTGAACACTGACAGACACTTCTCTGAGCTTCTCTCAGCTTCCCTGAGTTTTTTCATGGCCTCAACTTTTTCAGAAACAGCTTGGCTACTGAGCTCCCATGAGTACAATACCAAGGACATTTTCTCAAGATCAAGGCTCATGTCCATTTTTGTGTCTATTGTCAGGCCCTTAGCTTCAGGCTCCTTTGGCTTCTCTGGCTTGTTTTTTGTTTTTTCTTCACAAGCCTTAATGTTGTGTCCTTGTCTTTCTCCTTCTCCTGAGTTATCTTTTTCGGATTCTGCATTGGTGTACATACTAGCCAAGCAGGCTATTTGCTGCAGGCAAACCTGGGGCAACAGTTTCTCTTCTGTCATGTGGTGCAGTGTGGGTAGCCAAACTATCTCCTTCAAACCCCTAGTTAGAGCTTCAGTTTCTTCATCTGTAAACAGGACTGTGTGAAGATGAAATGAGAGTAACCATATATAGGCGTTAGCACAGAACCTGGCACCATGTTAGGTGTTGTGGTTAGAGGCCTGTCCTCAAACATCTTCCCCAACCCCCTTTCCAACCTCAATTTATTTGCCAAAGGTTTGGCCCCTGTATGTTGCTGTATGTTAAGGAATGTGACCTCATATTTGTAGAGTACTACTGGCTTTCACGCTTGGACTCCCAGACACTAACAGTAGCCCTCTGACACTAACCGGTAGTTCCCAGGGTCTTTGCCATAAATCCAGTTTTTGGGCTATGTCACTTACGGGTGGTCTCACAGGCTTCCCTGTCTACCCACACCTTGTCTGTGGCTTGCTGTAGTCCAGTTCTCAGGCTTCTATGGAATAAGACAGGAGACGGGTAGGAGACAATGTAGACAAAGTAAGGCCTTGCTACCAAGGAGGTCCCAGTTGGGCTGGGAAGAAGATCCAGAAGTCACAACTACAGTGCCCCCAATTCAAAGACTGCCAGGGTCCCACTGGATGCCTGGGCTGGACACCTGGATCATCAGGAATCTCCCTGACATTGAGGATCCTTGAATACTGATGGATGACTGGGAGGTAGCACAGCAAACCGTGAGAGAAAGTCATTCCAGGAGCATGAAAAATCTTTTCATAAGATTTGAAGCAGCCTGGGAGCTCCAGGTAAATCCACTCTTTAGGTAAATCCACTAAAAACCTTCAACCCACAAGCATCCCAACCACTGGTCTCTTCTTTCTTATAACTATTGTCAACTATATCTTCCTAAAACAAACAACAAAAATGGTTCCCTGATTTTAAAATCTGTTGACTCTCTAAGACCTACAGGTTCAAGACCAAGCTCTCTCCCCTGATATTCAAAGCCCTTCACAATCTTGTCCCAACCCACTTCCACCAAATCTTCTCCCCGCTCCCATCTGGGAGCCCCTGGCCCTCTTCGCCTCTTCCCCCAACCCAGGTCTCCAATCCCCAGAGCATCTGCCTCCCGAGCAGTCACTCGGGCACCACCCACCCTCCTTGCCCCTCGCCAGGCCCTGGGGTCGCCCAGCCCCCAGCCAGGCCCGTGCGCCCCGCCCAGTGCCGGGGGTGGGCGGCGGAGGCAACACCCACCTCGCCGGGACGCCGGGATTGGCGCGGCGGGCGCGGGAGGCGGGCCAGGGCCGGGCTGGCTGCTGCCGACGCGATCCTGGCCAGAAAAGCCCGGCGAGCGAGCGCGAGAGCCCGACGGCGCTGCCAGGAGGCGGTGAGTGCGCGGCCACCGCGGACGGGCGGACGGGCGGGAACAGTGGACGCCGGACACGCGCACGCGCTGGGCGCTGCCCACGTCCGCCTGCCCACGGCTGCGCCCGGCGGTGCCCGGGCCCCTAGCGTCCCCGCCCGGGAAACTCCGCGGCTAGGAGGTCGTCAGTCCGGTCTTGTCTTCCAGACCCGGAGGACCGAGGCTCCCAGACGACTAGGAACCGCCCAACATGGCCTCGGAGGTGAGTGGGACCCAGGGGACGCGGTCCTCTGAGCCTCCAAGCGAGGGGGGGGGGGGTGCCCTGGGGCCGGCCGAGGCCGTGACCTGCGCACGAGATCTCCCCGTGCCAGACCTGCCGCTGATCATCCTCCTGATAATTACCCTCCCTGGCTGCAGGGCGCACCTGCCAGGTTTGCCTGGACTCCCAGGCGTCCCCATCACTGTCTGCTCTCCCTTAAGTCCCCTCTAGGGCGCCCCGAGGTGGTCCTGGTCAAATTGGCCAGCCCACACTGCTCTGACAGTCCTTGAGATGGCAAAGGCACCTCTTCATTCCCTCCCCCTGGCCCCCTGTCAAGCCTTACTCTGTGCACCTTCTCCTGCTGTCACAACTGTCCCAGTGTGTAGCAGAGTCCCCGAGACTGGCCTGGGGAAAGAACCAGGTGGTAGGGGACCGTGTGCTGTGGCCCCAGAGTCCAGTGGCTTCTTGTCTAATGGCTTCTCATCCTTAGAGTCAGAGGACTCCTGGGTGCGCTTCCTGATCAGTGAGTGACAGGACTTGGGGGCACAGATTTCCTTCCTTGGGCCTCAGTTGATTTATCTGGCAGATGGAGATAGTAATAGCTACCTGCCTTCCTCTGTAAGGTACTGGATCATGAAGTCATTCCTTTGAACCCTTCAGGTAAAAGGGGCTGTTTGCTTGATGCCAATGAAGAGAACTCTGAGCCTGGGAAGCAGGAGGTCTGGCTTCCAGTCCTTTCTGGCCCTCATTAGCTGGCAAGCCATTTTCTCTCTCTGGGCCTCAGTTGGTTCATCTGAAAAAAAAAAAAAAAACCCGGGATAAGAATGCCTGCCCTGCTAGCTTTTGGATCATGGTGGAGGGCCAGGGGGCAAAGCCTGGACTTTGGAGTCAAACAGACTTGGTTTCTGAAGCAGTCACTCGACCTCCTGAACCTCTTCACTCATTTGTTAAATCAGGCAACAGTGTCCACCTCCTAGGAGGATATAAGAGGCACTCTAGGAGGTTTTTTGTGGAATGCCTAGCACAGGACTAAGCAATGGTAGGTGCTCAGTAAATGCTGGCTCGTGATACTAACAGTAACAAAGCTGGTATTTCCCTTGTGTATTCTAAATTGGTTGCTCATTCATCTTAGCCCAACCCAGTGCCCCTGCCCCAAAACCCCAAGGGAATCATTATGGCCCAAATGTTCCCTGATTTTAAGCAGTGCCCTACCCCACACTGGCCTCCACATCCCCTCAGTGTCCAAGTGACACCTCACTCTGACATACTCCTAGGGTCCTTTTAAGGTTGCCAGTGGAGTGGGAGCTTGGCCCCAACAAAGAGTAGGCTGCCTTCTGGAGACCAGGGTGCCAGGTGACCTCTGCTTGCCCCAGGCCATCCTGTGGATTGGCACTAATTGGTCTGGCTGCAGCCCTGCTTGTTAAGTAGTTGTTATTACTACCAACCTATGCAGGAGCCTGCTGGGGGAGGCAGTGCCAGGTCTCTGGCTGAGGGGAAGGCTGGTTCTTGATCCTGCCTGGCTGGGCCTGGCTTCAGTGGTCAGGAACAGGGTCCTACATGGTGCTTTGCTGGAAGTCTAGGCTTGATGGGCAGCAGAGAGGCAGACCTAGCTCAAAAGGCTGAGGGTGGAGGCTGCCTCCGTAGGGCGGAGTCCTCTGGCAACCAAGGCTGTTGGGCATGAAGGGATCAGCTCACAGTCTGGGGCCAGAGCATGCTGGAGGCCCCTATGCTGCACACAGGAACTGGGAGTGGAGCTAAGGCACGCCCTGGGTTCAGCAGCCCTCAACCCCTCCTTAATAATAGCTAGAATCTGCCGAGAGCCAGGCACTGTGCTATGTATGCACTAAGCCTATTTTATTTAATTGAATGCTCACAGTTCTATCAGATAGGCTATTACTATCCCTATTTTACAGAGTAACCCTGAGGTTATAGAACATGCCACAGTCAGGTGGCTAACAGAGGTCTGGGACGTGCAGAGATATGGTCCCAGTGGCCACTTATAACCCCTTCTTCCCCCTCCTGCCACAGCAAAAATGCCAGTGAAGTAACATGCCCACCTTCACCCCAGCGCATTCTCTACTAAGTCCTTGGCACTCCAGACACTTGGACTGCTTTCCACATGTCTGTACCCCTCCCCTATCTGTTCCATGCCCTGGCCTATGCCCTCTTTCAAAACAGAGGCGCCTCTGTCTCATCCCTCTGCCCTTGGCTCCTGGGGGACAGAGGGTCAGCTAGTGATCTCCTAAAGGGCTAGTGATAGCAGGTGCTCTCCAGAGTGGTGGTGGGGGTGGGATCTTAGGCTGTAGGCTTGAAACTATGAATTCCAGAGTGAGTTCTCACTTTGGTCAGTGGCAGGAAAGGTCTGGAGGTTCTGCTGGTCTCAGGAGTGCCTTATACCCTGCCTCCATCAGCATGTGATGGGAAAGAACCCTAACTTCAGTGTCCAGCTCATTCCCACATTCACTCCCTGAGTGACTTTGGGCAAGCTGCTGACTCTCTCTGAGCCTCCAGTTCCTTATCTGTTCAGAGAATAATCCTGCCTGTTGACCCCCACTGCCCTGAGACCTGATAACTCTCCCTGTGGGCCCTTTGTGAGAGGCACTGTTCTGAGGGTGGGGGGAGATTAATTGCTCTGCTCTCCTTCTCTCCTGGCCAGAGTGGGAAGTTATGGGGTGGCCGGTTTGTGGGCGCTGTGGACCCCATCATGGAGAGGTTCAACTCATCCATCGCCTACGACCGGCACCTGTGGGAGGTGGATGTGCAGGGCAGCAAAGCCTACAGCAGGGGCCTGGAAAAGGCAGGGCTCCTCACCAAGGTTGAGATGGACCGGATACTCAATGGCCTGGACAAGGTATTCACCACACCTCAAGACCCACCCGAGAACCCCTCCCATGGCCCCTGGTTCCTACCAAATTCCTAAGTGCAGGTGCAGACTATCCCAAACCTGTTATTTTCCCTTATATGTCATTCCCCTTTAACCATGTGCTGTGCTGACCATCTCTCCTTGTCCTTTAATGCTCCCCACCATCCCCATGGCCCAGTGGCTCATGGGTGGAAGTGTGCTAGGCCTGAGATGCTCCCTTGGGGGTGGGGACTGCATAGACCCCTTCTGTGGCGTGCTCCCAGGACTCAGCTCCTACACAGGGCTAGTCAGTGACCAGGTGGGGTTGGGACCAGGTTAAGGGCCCTCAGGCTCCCGATGCCTGTCCACCTAAGCTCAGGGTTGCTGCCATCTACTGCAGGTGGCTGAGGAATGGGCCCAGGGAACCTTCAAACTAAACTCCAATGATGAGGACATCCATACAGCCAATGAACGGCGTCTAAAGGTATGACCCCCTTCTGCCCCCACAAGGTGGAGGGGAGCTCTCCACCTTGCCCTAGGCCCCTTTGAGTGTAAGTGCCATCATTCTGTTACACCATCATTGGCACTTTGCAGGTAGGACCTCAAAGCAGGAGACCTCAGCAGAGATGGCAGAGACTTGGGCAGACCCGTAGGGCCCTAGGGAAAAAGGGAGGGTGACTGGACTGGGGAGGAACTTGGCCCTGCCTGGGCAGACTCTATGGGCCCCAGAGCAGACAGACCCTGACCTCATGCCTCTCCCTTCACCCCTAGGAGCTCATTGGAGAAACGGCAGGGAAGCTACACACAGGACGGAGTCGGAACGACCAGGTAGCACCAGCCCCTCCCCTCTACCCCTGACTCTGTACTTCCCTAACGTTGGGGAGCTCAGGTGGCAGAGTAAGGGCTCAGTGACTGTCCTTGCTCTCAGGGAAGGTACCTCCCTTAGTGCCGACTTCTCCTCCCCACAGGTGGTCACAGACCTGAGGCTTTGGATGAGGCAGAACTGTTCTGAGCTCTCTGCCCTCCTCCGGCAACTCATCAAAAGCATGGTGGATCGAGCAGAGGCGTGAGTGCTTCAGGGATACCCAGAGAGGGCACAAGAGCAGCCAGGGTTTCCTCTCCCCTGGGACAGGCAGTCTAAATGCCAGGGATGAAGAGGGCAGGGGAACCAAGATGTGGAGTAGGGGTGTCCCAGAACTCCTGGATCAAGTGAGGTAAAGCAGCTAGGAGTGCTCCCTGCCCCCATGCTAGCCTCACCCAGCAGGCCAGGCAAGCTCACCCTCTGAGGAACCACAGGCAGAAGGGGAAGGCACTAGGCAGATGCCCTGAAGCCTGAGGAAGAGGCTAGGCTGGCTGTGCCTGGGGCAGCCAGAGTCACTCCTCAGCCTGCCTGTGCCCCTGACCCTCAGACCCCCAATCCTGCCCAACATGGTTGACAAAGGAGAGAGCCAAAGGCTGCCTCCTGCTGGCCTCATCCTCAACTTTGGCTTGACTGCTGAGAAGCCCCTTTTTAGTGTCAGAGACAGGGTTCAGCCCTTCTCTTCCCCCAACTCCCCATGACCCCTGTTTTACAGACCCCGCCACTTGGGAGAAAACAAGGGCATAAAAACCATCATCCTGGGGGTACCAGAAGAACTAGGGAGTGACTACTATTGGGTACAGGGTTTTTATTGGGGGGTGGTGTGATGAAAATATTCTAAAATTGATTGATGTGATGATAGCTGTTTACTGAAGTGAGTGAATTGGATGGAATTACATCTCAATGAAACTGTTAACAAACAAAAGCCAGAACTATCACCCATAGCACTGCTGCCTCTGCCCTGCCTACTTTAAAGTGCCCCCAGCTTTTCTGGGGTCCTCAGGAACTTCTCTTGTGCTCACCAGTTTGGCTTCCCACTGCTAGGTGGGAGCCACTGTGTGCCTTGTCCTGCTTTGGCTCTGCCCACATTAGCTGCTAGGTGGCAGAGGCCCAAGCTGAGGATGTCATCTACACTTGGCTTGGTTAAGCCTTGGGCCTTGATGCCCCCAGGCTGGGCCAGTCACATTTGCCCATTCAAGTGTCCTTTCCTTTATAATGTGTTTGTCTCCAAGAGGTCACTTGGTTCCTCAGGCAGGCAGATCCTTGGTAGGCCTGCTCTACTCTTCCTTGGAGGGTCCTAGGCCCAGATGGTGCCGGGTGTCACTGGCAGGCCTCACATAACTCTCCTGAGCCCTTCAGGTCTCCTGTCCCTACTCTTCCCCTACAGGGAACGGGATGTCCTCTTCCCAGGGTACACACACCTGCAAAGGGCTCAGCCTATCCGTTGGAGCCACTGGATCCTGAGGTGAGGCAGGGGGCGGTGTAGGGGCTGTGATGGAGGGAGGGCCCCAGGCTGCCCTGACCCTCTTGCTTCCCGCAGCCATGCCGTGGCACTGACCAGAGACTCTGAGAGGCTGCTGCAGGTGCAGAAGCGGGTCAACGTAATGCCCCTGGGGAGGTGAGCGGGGCTTCAGTGTTCAGAGGGGAAGGGGGCGGTTGCTGCCATACAGTTAGTGTGGCCCTTTGAGAAGAGAAGGATCTAGGAAGGACAGAGGAAGAGAAAGTCAGAGAACTGGCCTCCCTGCCCAGAGTTCTTCCTATAAGGACATGAGGGGGACCCCTAGCTTGCTCTGTGATGGGGCAACCAAGCTAGCAAGTGAGTCAGCAGGGCCACAGCTCTCCAGCCCGCTGAGCACAGGCTATTTTCCCTGCACGCGGACAAGTGGCCTGGCACCATGCTGACCGGGTCGTGGCTCTGGCAGCGAGGGCTCTGCTTGCGGTGTGCATGTGTAGATGTGCCAGGGCCTGCCTGCCAGGACCCCTGGTCACTCAGAGTCCCCTGTCCCCTCAGTGGGGCCATTGCAGGCAATCCTCTGGGTGTGGACCGGGAGCTTCTCCGAACAGGTGAGGTGCCCTGCCCTCCTCCTTGGGGAGACCACCCTCAGCATCCACTGGCTTTGCAAACACACACCTAGGGAGGGGCTTACAGCTCATCTGGGTGAAAATTTCACTTATTACCAATGGTCGCTGAGGTTAGAGACTCAAAGGAGGGATCTTTGCATGGGTGTGTAGTGATGGGGAGACCTGGCTCCTCCCTCCCTCCTGGGACCTAAACAAGAGACATTCCCTACCTTGAGCCCCTCCCTAATCCTTCTCCTTGAAAGGAGGCCATGAGGGAGTGACTGGACCTGGTTTGGGGTAGAGGAGATCCCTCCTTGCCCTCCAACCCTGCCCTATTGCCTTCCCGTCATCTAGAACTGAACTTCGGGGCCATCACTCTCAACAGCATGGATGCCACTAGTGAGCGAGACTTTGTGGGTGAGTCCTGAGGGCCAGCCTTTGTGTCCTCCAGGGCTAGGCCCTATACTGTGCCCCCCCACTTTGGCCCCTTGCCCCAGCTCCTCTCAGCCTCCTCCCTCCCCTTGTATGGTGCACCTGGAGCTTCTCCAGGCAGGGTGAGGAGCAGGAAAGGCCTGCTAATCAAAAAGCCTGCTGTCCCTCTCCCTCACAAGCTGAGTTCCTGTTCTGGGCTTCATTGTGCATGACGCACCTGAGCAAGATGGCTGAGGATCTCATCATCTATGGCACCAAGGAATTCAGCTTTGTGCAGCTCTCGGATGCCTATAGGTAAGGTCACACCTCTGTCCCCACCAGCATGGCTTCCTTCCTCCCATAGGTCTTTGCGGGCAAACCTGGACTCTATGTTGCTAGACTTGCCCTGCTCCCACCCACAGACCCACCAGGGGCAGGGAACCCCCTTCAGCCTCAGTATTTCTTGTCCCTAGCACTGGAAGTAGCCTGATGCCCCAGAAGAAAAACCCTGACAGCTTGGAACTGATCCGGAGCAAGGCGGGGCGTGTGTTTGGGCGGGTAAGCAGAGCAGGGAGTGGGGATGAGGCCTTTGGGCTGACCTGGAAGGTCCTGAGGGAACCTTCAGGATGGGCTCTGAGGTCCAGCCTTCTGACTCTCACTCGCTCTTCAGTGTGCTGGACTCCTGATGACACTCAAGGGGCTTCCGAGCACCTACAACAAGGACTTACAGGTTTGAGACTGTGGCATGAGTGAGCGACTCACCTGCATGTACACCACATACCAGTCTTCAGGGCCCTGGCACCCCAGAAGAGTCCCCGCAGACTGTCACCTCATTTTCTGTGTCCCCATCCCTTGACTACCTCAAGAGTTCTTTCCTTTTCCTTAATGTGGGGTGTGTGGGGTGCTGAGTGCTCCCAGTGGAAGGCATAGGGATGCTGGGGGACAGGATGCTGTGCTCTTACCCTCGCCATGTGCCTCCCAGGAAGACAAAGAAGCCGTGTTTGAAGTATCCGACACCATGAGCGCTGTGCTGCAGGTAGCCACTGGAGTCATCTCCACACTGCAGGCAAGACACACCTCTACTCCCCCAGGACCCTAAGCAGGGGTGGGCATGCCAAGAGGGTGATCTGGAGAGGCAGGAAGGAGGTGGGTCTAGAAGGTCTAGGGCAGGGGTAGGAGGATGTACTTGCCCCTGGGAAACAGTGTAGGAGCAAAATGTAAGCTGCAGCAGGAGAATGGCAGTGGATTAGATGCAAGTGGTCCTCTCGGCTAGCCTGACCAGATTTCTTTCTTATCACTTACTGTGAGAAATTTCAGTATACAAAGGTGAAGAGAATGTGTGATGAACCCTTTTGTATCAACACCCAACCTCAGCAATAGTCAACTCATGGCTTTCCTCACAACCTTCCCCCCACTACTCTTGAGCAAATCCCCATCATATTTTATTCCTAAGTAGTTCAGAACGTGTCTCTAAGGCAGTGACTTGCACAAAGTGTGGTTCCCAGGCCAGTGGCATCAGTAGCATCTGAGAACTTGACAGAAATGCAATTCTAGGCCCTACTCCCAGAGCTACTGAATCAGATACTGGGGGAGGGACCCAGTGATTTTTATTTATAATGGATCTTCTAGGTGATTCTGCACATGCTAAAGATAAGGGCTCTTTGAAAACATAAAGACGACCCCATAGTAAAAATTATTAATAATTATAAAAAGATGGCTTGAGCACAGACAGCAGGACAGGGAGGGTCAGACAGGATCTGACCAAGGCAAATGGCATGCGGCTGAAGAGGAGGGTAAGGTTTGGAGCTGGCAGCTTCTGGCTCCAGGGACCCCAGGACTCATTACATAACTGCCGGGCTCCCCCAGATTCACCGCGAGAACATGGCAAAGGCTCTTAGTCCTGACATGTTGGCCACTGACCTCGCCTACTACCTGGTCCGCAAAGGGGTAAGTGCAGGGTGGTCAAGTGGAGGGGTAAAGGGAAGGATTGTCCTCCCAGCAGGGTAGAGAAACAGAGAAGGGTGGTAATCAGGGAGGGACAGACAGAACAGGGTGGCGAGGAAGCAGGAGTCAGTGCCATCCTCCTCACTGGTGCCCCCAGATGCCGTTCCGCCAAGCCCACGAGGCCTCTGGGAAAGCTGTGTTCATGGCTGAGACCAAGGGAGTTGCCCTTAACCAGTTGTCGCTGCAGGAACTACAGACCATCAGGTGCGGGCCCCTCCCCTGCCTCTGCTGCCTGTCAGGAGGTGAGCCCAGGCCCCCCAAGGCCAGGATGGCCTGGCTGTCCTGGCTCATCTCCTCCTTTCTCCCCAGCCCCCTGTTCTCAGGTGACGTGAGCCACGTGTGGGACTATGGGCACAGCGTGGAGCAGTACGCTGCCCTGGGTGGCACGGCGCGCTCCAGTGTTGATTGGCAGATTGGCCAGGTGCGGGCACTATTACGGGCACAGCAGGCCTAGACCCCTTCCTACGCCTGCTCCCAAATAAAGTGGGCTGAAGAGGAGGCTGCTGTGTGTTTCCTGCCCAGCCTGTGTACCCCAGTGGGGGCTTTTCTGGGTCTGTTAAGTCAGCAGGAGGGACCATCAAGGAAGTGGAGAAACTGGGCAAGGACAGCGGAAGTCACAGATGGGAAGAGAGGCGAAAACACTGCATTTGGTCAAAGTCTGGAGCCTGCACAGGCCCCGCCCCTTTACCACGGGGCATCACCGTGGTCACCTGCCTTGGGTGTCTTGGCAGGACTGGCCTCTGGGGAACCCCGGTGGGACTGTTAGTGGGCAGACTGGGGGGCCACCCTGAGACACCCCAAACCTGCACTCTCTAAAGAGGTTCTGCCATCCATCGCATGAAGACAAAGCATACTTAGTATGAAAGAATTTTAGTAATAGAAGAAAGGATATAGTTTCCCAGTAAAACACTCAGTCACCCATCCACTCATTGGTTAATGCCCAGCCAAACAGGGTTGGCCCAAAGCTGGTCTGCTGAGGCGCAGAATCTTGCCACAAGTCTGAGGCATCTTCTGGTGGGGACCCATAGAAAAGGGGCAGAAGGGGCCAGGCAAGTGTGGGACAAAGGAGCAAAAATTAAAGTACAAATTAAGGGAAGGGCAGCCATTGTCAGCCTCCCCACGTGTCTCTCACATCTCTTTCAAGTGTGTCCTTCCATATCCCTCAAATCGCTGGTGCAAGTCCAAAGCCAAGAAGCAAGAAGGACTTGTTCACATGTCTCTGCTCCAGTGCCTCCTCCAAGTCTCTTCCTAGTCTCCTCTCTCAACCCTCTTCAGCTCCATCTCCCTGCTCAGCTCCACCCTTCATTAGGTGGGGCTGAGAACTTGGAACCTTCCCCTTCTTTGGAGATTACACTGTTACCGGATCTGATGGACTTGGTTAACCCATTTAGTCCCTGTTCATCCACTTCCTTCCAGCATCCAGGAGGTAGGTTCCCCCTGCACATTCTCCTCTAGCTGAACCCACCCTTCCCTGGACCATCAGGCACCATTACAGGGTGTCCCCTGGGCTGAGGCCTGTGCCAAGGCTGCAGGGGTAACCTGTGCCCTCATGAGGGGAGTAGGGTATTGGTTGGTGGCAAAGTCATCCACAGCTACCTTGTGATACCAGGCCCCAGGTGAGCTTCATACACAGGTGCTGAAGATGGCTCCTCCACCTTAGCAATAATGTACAGATGAATTCCCACTACTAACCATGACGTGAGGGCCAGAGACTGGTGGCGTATGCGGGGGGCCCTGCCCTATGCAGTTATGGGAGTCTGCAAAGGGCCTGAGGCCAGCATGCATGTGGTCAGTGTTCAATAGCAATGAGTCCCTGGAGCCAGCAGAAATGTAAGGACCTCTTCTGCACAAATCTCACCAAAATCCTAATAAGAAATGTCTGAAATTTACATTTATTAACAATATTTTCAGACAATCCTGTTAAAAGATAAACAATCTAAGCTTGAAGAAAAATTGATAAACCTTCCTAAGTGATTCTGGGAGCAATGAAAAAAGGCTTTGTTAGTCAAAGAACAAAAATTCCAGCAGTACAAACTTGATACAAAATCCTAAAAGGTCAACTATGGGTCACAGAGCCTTCTGGAGCAGTGGTTCTTAAAACGTGGTCCTGACCATGACCATGGTCTACTAAATCTACTAAATCAGAATCTACTAAATCAATCTACTAAATCAGAATCTTAACAAGTCCTTCAGTCAATGTTGATGTGCACTGAGGTTTGAGAATCACTGGTTTCTAGAACCTTATTATATAAAGTTGCTTCAGGCCACCATTGGCCTCACTTGGGTACCACCTGAAACTTCACCTTTAGAATCTGCATTTTAACAAACTCCCCAGGTGTTCTGTGTACATTAGAGTCACAAGTGCTGATGCAGAGAATGTCTAATCTCTGAAGTGAGGGGGGGGCCAATGGCCATCAAACAGCAGATGGAATTGAAATACATATGATGTAATATACCGTGATATACCTGACACAGGGAGAGTTGCTGTGATGACTACTCTCTCACTTCCATGGAGGGGGCACGCCCCATCTAAGTGGGAACTCTGTTTTCAAACAATCTTGTCAAAAGTTCCTCCTTAACTGACTCAAATCAGCCTCCCAGCACCTCCTACCTGTGAGTCTAGACACACTTTGACTGGAGCAGAAGGAAGGAGCCTCTTCCACGCAGGGAGAGCAAGAATGTGTATAACTTTTCTCCAGGCTCTGTCTCCTTATGACTGAGCTACTTCCCAGGCCTGCCTCTTTCTAACTCAACTGTCTTTTCCTCTTGTCTTTTTTTGTGTGTGTGTGTTAACTTCAGTGTCAACCTTGTACTGATTCCCTGTTACTGCTATAACAAGTTACCACAAGTCCATGCCTTTAAATAACCAAAATATGATCTTCATTTCAGATGGGTTTTGCCTAGGCAAAATCAAGTATCAACAGGGTGAAGTTTCATCCAGAGGCCTTGAAGGAAAATCTTTTCCCTTGCCTTTTCAAGTTTCTCGATGCCACTTTTATCCCTTGTCCTACGGCCCCTCCCTCCTCTGTTTTCAAGTCAGCAATATAGCATCTTGAAATCTTTCTCCAACTCTGCTTTGTTGCCACATCTTCTTCTTCTTCTTTTTTTTTAAAGATTTATTTATTTATACAAGCACTGGGTACAGTGAGAAACGCGGGAGGGTGAGAGAATTCACCAGAGCCAGAGTGGGGAACAGAACAGGCAGGCTGATGAAGAAATACACTGCTGAGGGGAGCAGCGGCGCGGCAGGAGAGGTCTGCGGCCGGGGATCAAGCTGGCGCTGCACAGGCTGCAGGCAGCCTCAACCCAGCGCTCAACCGCTGCGCCGCTAGGGGAGGCCCTCTTGCCACATCTTCTGACTGATCTTTCCTCCTGCTGCTTATACGACCCCTTGTGATTACCTTGGATCATCTTGGGATCCTTAATCACATCTACAAAGTCCCTTTTACCATGTTAGGTAACATTTGCAACTTCTGGGGATTACAACATGGACATCTTAGGAAAATCATTGTTCAGCCTATTACATTCTGCTCTCTAGCTCGCAAAGAGCCACCTCCATCCCATATGCAAAATTCACTTTATCCCTTGGTCACCCACAGTCTCACCAAATACAACATCAGCTCAAAATCCCATATCTCCCATTTCACCTAAAGTGAAACTCTGAATATGATCCATCCTGAGGCAAAATTCCTTTCTATCTATGAACTGCAAAATACATTTGATCATGGTATGGATTAAATTTGTTCACACACATATATTCAAGAAACAAGTTACCTACTCTTAAAATACAATGCTGGCTTAGGCACAGCTTACCATGGACATTCAAATTTACAAAGGAAAAAAGGAACCAAGCAATTCTGAAACCCAACCCAACAAACTTCAGGTTTCAGGCTCGGGAGTACTTCATGATTTTCAGCTTGGCCCCTTGGGCTGCACCTGCATCATCAGAGTTATCATTCCTTTTTCTTGAAGGCTAGCACATGTTTTGCACCCCCAGTACTTATCATCCTGTTTTCCTGTCTGTAGAATTTTGAGAGGAATTTGAGAGCCTCCTCTAATTTTCTCTTCTCTGTGTTCCTTTTAGTCCATATTGGTGAAATGACATCCTTAAGGACTTTGTGGGTCTCCTGTGTATGTCACAAGGGTTTACTTCACTAGATAAGAGCTTCCTCAACAGATCTTTCCTGGATAATCTGACCTTTATCCCTGGCTTCTGCTGAGTATCTGAGGAGATCTATGAGTCCCATGCCAAATTCCTTCAAAGGATACACGTAATGAATAGAATACTCTGACTTTTTGATCCTTCTAGCACTAGCAAAAGATTGTCAAAGCATAGCCCAAGCTTTCTCTCAAGCTTGCTTTCCTGTAAGTGAATCGCCTAATTTTAGCATCTTTTGCAATCTAGAGAGACTGAGAATTTCCCAGATCATCCAATCCTGGTCTTGTTTTGCTTAACATTTAACCTGAATTTACCTCTTGCATTTTATGCCCTTAGCTGTCAGGAATGCTGAGACAGTAAATTCTTGGCAGAGGGGAATTAAATTATCTTATTGCCTCTTGTACTAAACTTCAATCATTCTTTGGGTATTGGGGCAGGAATTACTTCACTGAGCCTGTTCTCTTCTGAAAAAATCTGTAAGGAAGAAGAGAGGGGAGCAGCAACTGTGATTTAGCATGTGACAATGCCTACATGGGCACTATGGAATTTTGTTTCATTTTATGTTATTATAATTATATATATTTATACCTATAGAAAATATATAATTATATTATGTTTTGTGGTTATATACTATATATAATGATATATATTATAATATATAATAGTTATTTGAAAAAGTGCAAACTACAATGGTTTTAATAGAATTCAGCCAGTTAATATTGGTTTGATTCTCTGACTCCCACAAATTTGATCAGGATTTCATCTACTTTTTCTCATTTGAAATCACCAAAATAATAAAAATAGTAATAATAATAATAAAAGCAAGGCTGTAGCTGAAGCCATATGACATGCAATATGAGACCTCTCCCAGTTTACCCATAATTGGCATATTAGCTTAATCAATTGCGATTATAATCAAAAACATGATCAGCCATCCTACATTTCTCAAAAAACAAGTCACAAAAGTCTTTTTCAAACAACTTGCTGCAATCTAGATAGGTCCTGTTAGAGCATTCCTTCATCCCAGTCTACAAGACATCAAGGATATTACCCAGGGCCTTCCCAGTGGTGCAGCAGGTTGAGCATAGCGCTGTGAGGCTGTCCACAGCCTCTGCAGCGTGGGTTCAATTCCCGGCCGGCCAGGGAGTTACCCACATGGCACAGCACACCTCTCCTGTCTCGCCCATTGCTCCCCTCAGCAGTGTTTTCAGTCCATCTGCCTATTCTGCTCCCCACTCTCTCTCTGGTGAATTCTCTCACCTTCCCGCACTTCTGGCCTATACCCCAGTTCTTGTGTAAATAAATCTAAAAAAGAAAAGCATGTTATCCAATGGATAACCTGTATGCAGGACATATGGAGCCATCACTTATAGAGCCCTGGCTCCCTGCTGGACTCTATAGGGACCAGCAGGCTGTCAGCATCTATAGAGTCCAGCAGGGAGCCAACACATGTAGAGATCAGCAGGGAGTCAGCACCTATAGGGTCAAGCAGGGAGCCAAGACCTACAAGGACCACCAGGTTGCCAGCACCTATAGAGCTTAGCAGAGAGCCAGCACATATAGAGCTCAGCAGGGATCCGGCACCTATAGAGCTCACTGATAGCTCAGCAGGGAATAGCAAATATAGGACCCAGCATGGATTAAGCTTCTACAGGGCTCAGAAGGTAGCTAGCATCTATAGGACTTAGGAGGGATTCAGCAACTATAGAACTCAGCATTTAGTCAGCGCCTATAGGGCTCAGCAGGGAGCTGGCACCTATAGGTTTTGACAGGGAGCCAGCACCTATAGAGCTCAATAGGGAACTAGCACCAAGGAGCTCAGCACGGAGCTGACACCTATAGAGCTCACCAGGGAATAGAAATTATTATAAGACCCAGGAGAGTTTCAGCAGCTACAGGGCTCAGGAGTTAGCTAGCACCTATAGGACCAAGGAGGGATTCAGAATCTATAGAGCTCAGGAAGTAGCCAGCACCCATAGAGCACAGCTGGGACCCTGCACCAATAGAGCTCAGCAGGGAGCCAGCACCTATAGGGTCAAGCAGGGAGTCAGGAAATATAGGGCTATGGAGGGAGCCAGCACCTTCAGGACCCAGCAGGGGTTCAGCTCCTTTGGACCCATCATGGAGCCATCACCTATAGGGCTCTGCACGAAGCCAGAAACTATTGGGCCAAGGAAGGAGCCAGCACCAACAGGGCCCAGTATTGCCACCATCAGTAGGGCCCAGCAGGGAGCCACACCTGTAGACCTCAGCAGGGAATCGCCACCTGTAGGGTCTAGCAAAAACAGCACCTATAGAGTTCAGCAGGGAGACAGCACCATGAGGCCCCAGCAGGGAGACAGCACCTACAGGGCCCAAAAGGGATTCAGCACCTATAATGCTCAGCAAGGATCCAACACAAATAGGGGACAGCAGAAAGCCAGCACCTACAGGCCCAGCAGGAGTACAGCACCTATAGGGCAGAGCGGGGAGTTCAGTGCCTACAGGGCTCAGCAAGGAGCCAGCACTTATAATACCCAGCAGGTATTCAGCATCTATAGAGCTCAACAGGGAGCCAACAACTATAGAGCTTAGCAGGGAGTCAGCATGGAGTCAGCACAAATAGATCAGCAGGGAGCCAGCATGTATAGAACTCTGTAGGGAGTCAGCACCTATAGATCTCAGCACCTATAGATCTCAGCAGGGAGCCAGCACCCAAAGGGCCCAGCAGGGAGTCAACACCTATAGGTAACAAAAAATAACAAAGGACTGTTATTTTTGTAAGGAAAGGAATTGCGGGGGTGAGGGGCAGTTACCTGGTTGACCTTCCCTAAAGGTGAGGTGTAAACTGGTCTGATGAGTTCCCTCCTTACAGAGGTTCTGTGCACAAACCTCATCAGGCAGAGCTTCCATGTGCCACCAGATCAGATGCCTATAGCTGACCTTGAAGAATACCCCATGTGCCTGTAGCTCCACTAGGTGGCCTGACACTGGCTTGCCCTGACCTGTCAGTGACCGCCTCATCTTCAGCCCTTGCTGTGATAAATAAATGCTTCCTTCTCCAGGCCACTCATCTCCTTTCACTTTTTTTTTAAATGAATGAAGCAATTTATTAATCCAACATCATTTGTTCTAATGCTTCTTGTTGGTCGCTGCCACCTGTCCAGTGATTCTGTCCTTGCTGGAGTCCAGCTCCGACCGGGGCCGGGTTTCTGCAAGGACGAGACGGCGTAGGCAACGTGGAGGGATGAGGGGAGGGGAAATGAGGAGACACAGACACTTGATAGGGTGCAAGTATCTCCCACTGATAGCCTCAGCGGGGCTTTATTTATAACATTAGAAATTGTTATTAGATCATTACATCATGCGATCATGATTGATTTTACTTTTACATTGTTTCAGAAATTATTAATGATCATTAACAGTGCACAGTCCTTTTTCTAATTTTCCTAGTCTATGATTAACTTGGTTACTTGGTTACATTAACTTGGTTACATATTTTCCTAGGTGATGCATGTAATTCAGAAAATAGAAACAGGTGCTACACGCATGGTGATTTATACGTTCAAGCTAGGTAACTAAAACAAGGCTAAGCAGGCATTGTAAAATCGAGGGCAGCTTCCTATTTTCTATATAGAACCAAAGGGTCCTGGTGCCATGGGAACTGTATGTGGTGTGTTTCTCTCAGACCATTTCACCTCCCAGGGTGCCTCAGGGCCCTCTCTTGTGAGGGACTTTTGCCGGGCTCGATTCCAAGAGCTTTATCAAGCATGGCTTGCGAAAGAACTCAGTGTTACTCATAAGAACAGAATTATAAATTGGAAGACATGGAGGAATATTGGAAACCGTTTCACTATCAATCACATTAGAAGGTACTTTTCTCAAACTACTGAGGTGTGCATTACCGAAACTGGCATCGATGCCAACACTCATTGTGTTATTCTAAAGCTTATAGAAAATTTCCGTGGTTTCAATAACTGCCACAAACAAATGAAAGGAAGTAGCAGGAGCCAACTGTGGAGTTTTCTGACTTTTCAGAAACTTTCCTCATGCCCGGACTTTGTCAGACAGCATGAGTTTCCTGACTTTTCAGGAGTTTTCCCTCATGCCCGGACCTTGTCAGACAGCATGAGTAGCATGGCCCACGCCATGTCCTCATTTCTCTGTCTTGAGGAGTCAGTTTGTGATCCCAGTCTAGGTTCTTTCTCACCATTCTCAGTCTCTCCAGGCCTTTGTAGTATTTGAGGGGCCACACTCTTGAAGCCTCTGCTGAAGTGGCCGGAAATGACACTATTTCTCTAATGTCCCCCATAGAACTTGGTCATGGAGTAGAGTGCCCTGAAGATGTAACATGAGTAGAAACCAGTTCTTGTTTTAGGGAACAACCTCTTTCTGCTTGACCAGTTTGACAGTGTCTAATAATCCAGGGACTTTCAGCTTCCTGGAATTTTGAAGGAAGTCTTGCAAGAGCTTAGATGATCTGCTGGTTCATGTCTTTTACAGTAACTCCAGACTTCAGCTGCTTCCATGATACTGTTATAGAGCAACCCCGATATTAAACGGGTTCCTGGCTGTGGGTCCTCACCCGCGCGCTTTAAAGGGACTTATGAATACTCTACTACAGACACACACAAAAGGTTAATAAAAGGTTTATTTACAAGAGAAAAGGAAATAAGGAAAATGTACAACTCAGGGAGAAAATAGGGAAATAAAGTTTTTAATGCGTCCTACTCGATCCGACGACCTGGAAACCCAAAGTCACTCTCAGAGCTGGCCGGATGCTGCGAGCTGGTGGAGAGCCAAAAATGGGGGATACCCCAAAGCCCACGTGTCTGCCTTTTTATATCCACCTGGCTGCTTAACCCCACCCTCAGGTCCCAGCCACCTTCCCTTTGGTGGTGATGGGATTTGGAGTTCCCAGTGTCTTTGGCTTTGACCTGGGGTGGGGGTGGAGTCCACAAAGCCTATATGGAATTAGCTTTGGGACATCCTTTTCCCCCTAACAATACCAGCCAGGGGAAAGGCCTTTCTCCATGTTTGCCCCACTGAATGTTCACCTTTGGGGTATCCTTGGGCATCCTTTGTACTGGCAGGGCCGCTCTGTGGTCCACGAATAAAAGAGAAGAGACATCTCTGACTTATTTCCCAGACTTTATAAACTCAAAGATGGCCTTAGATTCCACTGTAGGCAGGGCCTGGGAGTCAGGGGCCTGGCCAGGGAGAATTTCAAGGAAAGTACAAAATGTCCTAATTCCCTGGGTGGTTATTTTTTCTCCTTTTCATTTTGTGTCCCTGGAGTGAATTCTTATAGGAAAAGAGTCTCTGAATCTTTCTTCAGAGAAGGGAATTGAAATTTAAGTTCTGGATTTGCTATGATATTTTGCTAATCTGGGGGAGGAGGAAAATAAAATCATGGAGCATGGGCCTCCCTGGTGGCTCAGGTGGTTGAGCACAGCGCTGTAAAGCTGTCTGCAGCCTCTGCAGTGCTGCTTCGATACCCACTGGCCATGGAGCAACCCACATGGCAAGGCAGACCTCTCCTGTCTTACCTGCTGCTCCCCTGAGCAGTGTGTTTCGGTCAGTCTGCCAGTTCTGTTCCCCACTCTATCTCTGGGTGAATCCTCTCACCCTCCCGCACATCTGGCCTGTACCCCGGTTCTTGTATAAATAAATAAATCTTAAAAAAAATCATGGAGCTAAAAACACTGATTCTAATTAATTTTGGTAAAAAGCAGAATTACAGTATGAATGCATTTATTTTTAAATGATCTCAATAAGGCTGTTAAAAAAAAAAAAACAGTGTGATCTCTTTGCTGCAACTACTTTGAGATAAAGACCATTTTTCACATCTAGAATGTTGGAATTCTAGAAAATGTCAACATCACTCTGAAGGGACCCAATTATTGTGAAGGGCCCCAGAGGAATCCTGTGGAGTTATTTATCAATGTAGAACACGAACTCCTTGGAAAGAAAAATAAGAGAATCTGGATTGACAAACAGTGGCAAATAGAAAGGAACTTGACATGGGCTACTCTTATTGCATCTCAGGCTCGAGTGTTCTCCCTCCAGTGCATAATGGCAATGCTCAAGGAAAAATTGATGACCTCAGCTGCAGAAAAAGAGGCAACAGTCCCAAGTAATATTAGTGTAGTAGGTGTTGGACAAGTTGTTATGGCATGTGCCATCAGCATTCTGGGGAAGTCTAGTGAATGAACTTACTCTTGTGGATATTTTTTTTTAAAGATTTATTTATTTCTGCATATAAGAGCTGGGGCACAGGCCAGAGGCACGGGAGGTGAGAGGATTCACCAGAGACAGAGTGGGGAACAGAATAGGCAGACTGACTGAAACACAGTGCTGAGGGGAGCAATGGGTGAGACAGGAGGGGTCTGCTGCCCCATGTGGGTTGCTCCCTGTCCGGCTGGTGATGGAACCCAAGCTGCAGAAGTTTCGGACTGCCCCATGGTGCGATGATTAACCCCTTGGGAGGCCCCTTATGGCTATTTTTAGAAGATAAAAGAGAATGATGGGTCTCCAGCATGGGAGCTTTTTTTTTCAGACATGTAAAACTAGTAGATAAAGATTACTCTCTGATTGCCAATTCTAAGATTGTGGTGGTAGAACTGGTGGGAGTCTGCCAGCAAGAGAGAGAAAATTGTCTCAATCTGGGGCAGAAGAATGTCCATGTCTTCAAATTCATTGTCCCTCAGATTATCAAGTACAGTCCTGACTGCATCATAAATGTGGTTTCCATCCCAGTGGATATTCTCACACATGTTACCTAGAAACTAACATTGAATGAATGAATTGACAAGTACCCAAGTACCGTGTGATTACAGGTGGGTTTAATCTGGACTCTGCTAGGTTTTTGCTATTTTATGGCTGAAAAACTTGACATGCATCCCAGGAGCTGCCATGGTGACTCAAGTGTGGCTGTGTGGAGTGGAGTAAATGGGGCAGATGTTTCTCTCCAGGAACTGAATCCCAAATGGGAACAAACAATGATAGTAAAAACTGGAAGGAACTGGATAACATGTTGATTGCAAATGCCAATAAGTCATCTAGCTGAAAGGATACACCAACTGGGCTACTGGATTATGTGTAGTTGATTGCACTGAATCCATGTTCAAAAATCTGTCCAGGATTCATTCAATGTCAACAATGGAGAAAGGGAAGTATAGCACTGAGAATGAAATCTTCCTGAGTTTCCCAGGTACGCAGAATGCTTGTGAATTAACCAGTATTAGCAATTAGAAGCTGAAAGATAATGAGGTTGCTCAAATCAAGAGAAGTGCAGATACCCTGTGGGACATCCAGAAGGACTTAAAAGACTGAGGCTTCTGACTATCATAGAAAAACTACAATGTGATTAACCATGAGCCTTTACTTTTCATCCATATACATGTATAATAGTCTGCTTTTATCTCCCTAAATATGTGAATTTGGAATCAAAACCCACACTTGGTTTCATGATTGCAACATGAACCCTGAAAAAATATAAGTAACATTAAAAAAGAAAGAAAAGGAACTGGCCACAGCAATCTGTTGCCAAATACGGCATATGATCAAGGGTGTTCCACTGATTTTCCATGGCAAGATGAGGATGTGTATGCTCACTTCCCCATCTGTGTCATTATTTAGGAGAGTGGGTCTCTTGTTGACATTTGAATTTCTTGAATAAAAAAAATCTACCTGTGGGGTTAAAATGAGTGTAGGTATTGTTTGTTCAATATTTCAAGCTCATAAAGTTATTGGCATCAAATCCAACTGCTTCAATACAGCAGGTCACAAGAGTTAAGCTCAAAGATATCAGAAAACTTTTTATATTACCTGCCTCTCTGAACAAGAAACTGATTAGCAGACTAATGAATAACATGTATTTGTTGTTCAGTGATGGAAACAAGATGTCTAATAATTCTCAATATCAAATTGTGATATTTCAAAAATGCAATGAAATTTATGTATTAAAAGCATCATGAAGGGAAGTGTCAAACTTGCGCTCTAATCAGCTGAGTGTCCTGTGACTTGCTTGTTACAAGCAATCTTGGGCCCTCACATCTGTGCATTGCTGCACTCCACCACCAGGAGGAGCACATGTTATTTTTCTGTCCTTAATATCAGAAGTTCTCTGGATGCAGAATACTGGGGAAGGAAAGGGTGAATATGCCAACAACAATGGTCACTGTTGCTTTGGGGGTGTTACCTTGAGCAAGTCACTTCACCTCTCTCAGCCTCAATTTCCTTGTCTGTACACAAAAAGATGAGCTCATTTTATAGTTTTTCAGAGCTTAAGAATTCCTTAGCAGAGGGTCTGCGCAGGAGGAAAGCTGTTATTATTGCCCTCAAGTAGTAGGAATCCAAAGGCCACCTTCATATGCCCCAAGTTACCTTTACCCAAATGATAATGCTCTCATGTGGGGGGCAGGGCCCCTAAGGGCCTCTAAGACATCATTCTGGTCTTAGAACAATGAGAAAGATGAGTCCCAATTAGGTTAAGGCCAGACATCCAGAACTCTGTGTCAGACCCCTGACTACACAAGCAGTGACACCTACCGTAGCAGGAAGGATAGGTGCCTTCTGACTGAAGAAATCAAAGCTGGCATCTGAGCCAAGTTGGAGAGATGATCTGGAGAACAAGAGAAAGAAAGCTATGGCATCCACAACAACACTGGGAAGGTATTTGTGGGCCCAAGGAGCAGGTGTATGGGTAGAAATGCATGAGGGGTAGGGGATATCACTGAAAAGTAGTCTAAAACAGATTCACAGTCAAATCGCATAGTGAGTCCAGGCTCCAAGTATACAATAATGATAACCGAAGACCCAAGAAGAGACCCAAAAAGATCTCGTCAAGATAAATGGAATTTCTCTTTGAACCAGACACAAACCCAAGTGATGAATGGGGAGACATGCAGGCCTGCACTGGGCCCAGGTATGTTGACTGAACTAGCTGAGAGAAAACCTTCATTGATGGACTTGGTTTCTCTCTCAGAAGGGCAACTTGAATTTCACTACATTAGACATCCCTGGGAGAGGTTTCTGAGCAAAACTGACCTTAGGGTTTGGGTTTTTTTTACATCTCTTGAAAGGTCCATGCAGGAGACCGGAATGCAAAAACCCACCAGGAAGCCCACCTGGGAACAGGAATGCAGAAGCCTGCTGCCTAGAGAATTCAGTGAACCTCCACCCCCCACCCCCCCTTACAAATCTTTTCTCAGACAAAGAAACTCCTCCTGCCCAAAAAACTTTTTCCATTGCGCCGGGTCATCATTTTTCAAAAAGGCTGGGCTGGGAGGTGGGTTGCCTGCGTGAGGCCTCTACCTTGCCACGCCTCATAACCCTTGGCCAACCCCTGCTGTTGACTGACCCCCCACACACAGGGCGGACTCCCTTTTGGCCTTCCTGGAACACGAAGAAGCAAGGAGAGGGGGCTTGTGGTCTCAGTAATCTTATAGCCTGACACTCGCCATCTTGCAACAGAAAACACCCCAGGACTAATACACCGCCCGACGAACCCAGTCTCCCACCTGACCTCTCCTCACCCCGTAAAGGCCTGCCTCCCCCTGACAACGTGCGCGGCTTCACTGACCCCCCAACCTTGGGTCCCTAGATCCGCCCGGGGCACAATAAATTTACCCTTCCTTTGAGAAATTTAGCCTGGCTCCCCTTTTCTTTACCGCGCCGAACCTTTCATCTCTGAAAGGAGTGTTTTGTGCATTATTGCTGTGCACGGACTTTTCTGAGGTAACTAAGTTTTCACCTCAGATTTCAGACTACCGTGGTGTTTCACAGTGTATCTCATTACAAGGATATTTTCTTGAGGTTAGTGGGTAATTTAGGGTCAACATTACCCCGTTTGTGACTATGTTAATCATAGAGAGGAAATGCAATGTAAGAGGAAATGCAATTCAGTGATTAGAGTTTAATCCCAGTTATTCCTAATTTTTAGTCTGGGGGTGTTTTCTGTTGCAAGATGGCGAGTGTCCGGTATAAGATTACTGGGACCACAAGCCCCCTCTCCTCCCTTCTTCCTGTTCCAGGAAGGCCAAAAGGGAGTCCGCCCTGTGGGGGGTCAGTCAACAGCAGGGCTTGGCCAAGGGTTATGAGGCGTGACAAGGTAGAGGCCTCACGTAGGACACGTCCCAGGCCCCCCTCTTTCAAAAATGGGAACCCGGCCCAGTCTCCTCAGACCAGGGTCTGGGGCGGGGAAGGCAGAGGGTGCGCGGGGTGGGAGTGGGGGTAGGGGCGGGACGGGGGCGCAGGCCCCGGACCTTCCTCCCTTCGGGGCTGGGGCTGAGGGTCGCGCCCCTGCTACTGCTGAGCGACCGTCGGCCGCCTTACCGCGGGCGGGAGGGCGGGCGGGCAGGCAGAGGGCCGGGCCGGGAGCGCAGGACACGAAGGCGCCCAGGCCTGGCTCTGCTTGAAACCGCGCGGCGGGGGACGTCAGGCGAGCACGTGACCTGGCCCCGCCCCGCCCCGCCCCGCCCCGCCCCGCCCCCGCCCGTCCTCCCCGGCTGCGGCGGCGCCCGGCCAGCCTGCGCCCTGCACGCGCGCGAGCCGCCCGCGGGAACCATGCTGCGGCGGCCGGCGGGGCTCTGGGCCGCGCTCGGGCCCCTGCTGTGGGGCTGCGGGCTGGCGCTGCGGGGCGGCATGCTGTACCCCCGGGAGAGCCCGTCGCGGGAGCGCAAGGACCTCGACGGCCTGTGGCGCTTTCGCGCCGACTTCTCGGACACCCGGCGCCAGGGCTTCGAGCAGCAGTGGTACCGGGCGCCGCTGCGGGAGGTGCGGCCTCCGGGGAGGGGGCGCCGGGCCTGGCGGGAGCCCCTGGAGGCCGCGCGGCGCGAGCGGGGAGCCTTCCCCAGCGTCCTCGGGCTGCCGGCCTGGCGGTGGTTAAAAGGAACCGGCGCGGGGCTGTGGTTGGCCGACCGGGAAAGCGGGCGCAGGAAATGGGCGGGGAGCGGGGACCGGCACCCCGGTGAGCGCAGGGCCGCCGCCCCAGCTGCACCCCACCCGCGCGGGGAGACTGAGCCTGGGCTGCGTCTGCGGCCGCGCGCGGCGGGGTGGGTGTGTGTAGCTCTGGACGTTCGGGGCCAGCTCAACCTGGCAGGGAAGACTTTGGGTTGCGAAGCTCAGCTGGAGGACCGAGCTTGGCACCCAGCCAGCCGGCGGCTCCACTCCAGGTCTGCCCTCTAATTTTGGCCAGTCCACCTAGAAGAGGGCCTGAGGCACATCTGTAAGTCCCTCTGGCCTCTCCCCCTCCCAGATCCCGCGCAGGGTTCACGGGGAAGTGAGGGGCCCGGTTGCGAGGCGTGCCCACTCGTCAGTTTTCTCTGGCCTGTACCCCAGCTCTTGTATGCATAAATAAATCTTTAAAAAATAATAATAATAATAATAAAAAGAGCAGCCCCTGCCAGCCTTCCTGAAATCGGCGGCAGCTGATCATCTGGGGGGAGGGCGGTCCACATGTCCCACATTCAGGGGATCATCCCCAGGCTGCTTGGAGGCTCACTGCCTTGCCTTCCACCTGACTGCTTCAAGAGGCTAGAGGTCCAAGGGATTCTCTGAGGGGCTCAGGTACACTCAGTTCTGCCAGGGTGTCCTGAGGCGGTGTCCTGAGGCAGTATCCCTCGGGTACTGGCTCCAAAAAGCCTGCCCTGACTCCTAAGGTAATCAGTCCCCTGCCACTCCCCATCCCTCTCAAGCTTTTTTCCAAAAAGTGCCCATCACCTGGCCTGTTCACTCTTTTCCTACTTGCACCTAAAACACTTTTGCTTTTGAATGAGTGAATGACAGGTGTGTACTTCTAGGAGTTGTGAGAATTAAACGAACTCCTTAAAAGACATTGATCAGATGCTGGCAGAGAGCAGTCATGGTGGGGTGACCTGGAATCCCAGGGTCTGGGAGAAGTCACCTTGTTCATCCTTCCTGTAGTCAGGGTTACAGGGGGACTGGTCTCTGGGAAAGTAGCTCCTGGGCCTGAGTCCTAGATGCCTAGGAGATCTGGACCTGATGCTGGCCCTTTGTCCACAGTCTGGCCCCACACTGGATATGCCTGTTCCCTCCAGCTTCAATGACGTGGGCCAAGACAGGTATCTGCGTAGCTTTGTCGGCTGGGTGTGGTACGAACGGGAGGCAACCCTGCCTCAGCGATGGACCCAGGACCTGGACACAAGAGTGGTGCTAAGGATTGGCAGCGCCCACTACCATGCCATTGTGGTCAGTGCAGGGGACAGTGGGCAGGGCTGGTGGGCAGGTGTGGCTGCTGAGCAGGAGGGAGGCTGCCCTGGGTGCCTGACTGCCGGCTGTCACTCCTCTCTGGTGAGGCCACTGGCAGGCCCTCAGCCCCCACATACTGTACTTCTGTGTGAGGGAGTGCCTGAGATGGCAGCGTCCCCTCCACATGCTCTGGCCTGCTGTTCCCTCCCTGTGTCTGCAGTGGGTGAATGGGGTTCATGTGGCAGAGCACGAGGGGGGCCATCTCCCCTTTGAGGCTGACATCAGCAAGCTGGTCCAGAGTGGGCCCCTGTCCTCCTGCCGCATTACCATCGCCATCAACAACACGCTCACCCCTCATACCCTGCCGCCAGGGACGATCCTCTACAAGAATGATACAGCAAAGTGAGCAGCACCCTGCTTCCCCTCGCCTCTCCTAGTGGTCTTCCCATTAGGAGTAGGGCTGCCTTGGCAAAGGTGAGGCGCAGCAGGCATGAGCTGAGGCTGAAGCACCCAGGGCAAGGTCCCAGTTGGCCGTTGTCTTCCCACCCTAGGTATCCTAAAGGTTACTTTGTCCAGAACACACGCTTTGACTTCTTCAATTATGCGGGACTGCATCGGCCTGTGCTCCTCTACACCACACCCACCACTTACATTGATGACATCACCGTCAACACTGATGTGGACCAAGACATTGGTAAGGGCTCTGGGCAGGAGCTGCCCTCAGCCAGATCCAAAGTGGCCTAGTTTCCTGTGAGGAAAGATACCCTGGCAAAAAGGCTTTCCCAGCATTTCTTAACCGTCACAAGGTCCTATGCACCTAAGAAGCTAAATCCAGCCCATCTGGATATACCCGTATTTTGTGAGGAAATGAGATCTGATGACAGATGGAGCGTGCTTACCTTAATCACGTAACTCAGGCTGAATACCTCAGGAGTCACAAGACTCCATGCCCCTTCCCTGCTGTGCTGCAGCTCTCATCTGTACACCTCAGGTCACTTTCCTCTCTCGTCTGATCTCTTTTGTCTCCTGCAGCGTTAGTGAACTACCAGATTTCTGTCCAGGGCAGTGAACATTTCCAACTAGAAGTGTGTCTTCTGGATGAGGAAGGCAAAGTCGTGGCCCAGGGGACGGGAGGACGGGGCCAGCTGCAGGTGCCGAGTGCCCACCTCTGGTGGCCATACCTGATGCATGAGCACCCTGCCTACCTGTACTCATTGGAGGTAATGGTGGTTAGTTCTGGGGCTGCTCGAGGCCCTCTGCCCCCAGCCAGAGGGCATTAGACAGGGGCATTAGACAGGAGGACAGGCAGGCATCATCCTCTGAGCTTCCTAGTCCATTGAACTGATGTGTTCCCGGCCTGATTTTTCTCAGCCCTTGGTGGAGAGGCCCAGTTTTGAAGAGCGTGGCCAGAGGTCAGGGTGGGCAAAAGGCAGAAGCCTGTGATTTTTGCATCTCCCTCTTGCAGTGGGTGGGCTGCTGTGGTTTATGAGGGGCCTTCCTGCTTCAGGGGGGATAGGTGTGGGGCCCCAGCCAGGGATGCCTCCCACCTGGTGCTTGGTGTTCCTAGGTGAAGCTGACAGCACAGACGGCCGCTGGGCCTGTGTCTGACTTCTACACTCTCCCTGTGGGGATTCGCACTGTGGCTGTCACAGAGAGCCAGTTCCTCATCAATGGAAAGCCCTTCTATTTCCATGGGGTCAACAAGCATGAGGATGCAGACGTGAGTTGGGGCTGCTGGGTCCCTTGGGGGCGCTTTCTCATTTTCATCTTCCCCATGCCCCCTGAAACAGTTGAGGGTAGAGTAGAGCAGTTAAACAAATTGTCTGCTAGGGCCTGTACTTGGGCTGGTAGAAGTCTAATGGGGAGACTTGAGAGGTCTGACTCTAGAAGTGCATCTCCAAGGGGGACGGGGGTGGGGGCCACTCTGCTCTGCTGCCTCCTAGATCCTAGGGAAGGGCTTTGACTGGCCACTGCTGATGAAGGACTTCAACCTGCTGCGCTGGCTTGGGGCCAACGCTTTCCGCACCAGCCACTACCCCTACGCGGAGGAGGTGATGCAGCTCTGCGACCGCTATGGGATTGTGGTCATTGACGAGAGCCCTGGTGTGGGCATTGTGCTGCTGTGAGTGCCCAATGCCCATAGTGCCCAGCCTGCACTGCTTGGCGGGTCCTGATGGATTCCTCTTTCCTCCCTCTGTCTTTCCCCCTGCCCTGCAGCCAGAGCTACAGCAACGTGTCCCTGCAGCACTTCCTGGTGGTGATGGAGGAGCTGGTGCGCAGGGACAAGAATCACCCAGCCGTTGTGATGTGGTCAGTGGCCAATGAGCCCACTTCCAACCTGCCACCTGCTGGTGAATACTTCAAGTGAGTGTCCCTCCCTCCCCCAGAGTGGGTCAGGAATGGGACCTCAGCCCTCCAGCCTGGGTAGTCCTTGGCTGGGAGTGTGGAGGTCAGTCCTGGGGTGGGCCTGTGTTGTGGTCACCATCCCTCCCAGCCCAGACTCAAGGGGGCACCATACCTGGTGAGTTTAGGGGACAGAACACCTCCTTAACCAAACTGATTCCAATCAGCGAGCGCCGGTGTCTCCCCTTCATACCTGAAATGAAATCCAGAATTAACCTAAGCTTTTTATACTAACTTCAAATTTTTAACAAATCATGATTGGCCTGAGATATAAAGGAAAGTCATTTCACACGAATGCATAGGCCTGACTCTAGAAGGCCCAGCGAAGGGTCAGACCTGCAGCTAGAAGTGGACTCGCCCTGAGAGCACATCCCAAGAGCTGGTGGGGGACTGCACCGTGGCTTGCGTGGGCGCCCTTTCCTCCCGTGCTGTGCATTCCTGCGCACATTTCTAAACTGAACCCCTCTAGATGAAGCTGCAAACAAAACCAAGTATGAGTTTCCCTCACTTTTTATGATTTCACCATTCCTGAGAGATTTGGCTTGTGTTAAAACTGTAAAAAACCACTGGTGCTTCAGGTTTGGGTTACACTTTATAAAATCAGCTAATTGTGCAACATAAACAGCTTTTTCAATGGCATGCATACGATGTTCTAAAGTTTTCGACGTTGTTGTTGGACAGGACCAGGCTGTCTAGAGTGCATGGTCCCATACACTAAATGCCAGTACCGCCCCCTCCCTCTGCCCCCCCAGGGAACAGCACGGCAACACTACTTAAAAAGAGGGGGCGTCTCCCCATATTGGACAGGACCAGGCTGTCTAAAGTTCATGGTCCCATTCACTAAATGCCAGTACTGCCCACTCCCTCTGCCCCCCAGGGAACAGCACGGCAACACTACTTGAAAAGAGGGGGCGTCTCCTCATATTGGACAAGACCAGGCTGTCTAAAGTTCATGATCCCATTCACTAAATGCCAGTACTGCCCCCTCCTTATGCCTCCCAGGGAACAGCACTGCAACACTACTTAAAAAGAGGGGCGTCTCCCCATATGAGGAGGTTTACTATTTCAGAGGGAGGCTGGCCACCTGGGGTGTTCCTTGGCTCCCTCTCTCACAATTGGACAGTGGTAAGGAGGCCTGCAGAGGGGAATTATTTCACATACTGTAGAGTCGGGAGAGGCCATGGCAATGCCTCCTGGGTCATATAGCACATCCCAGTTTGTGGAGTGCTTTGAGCTGAGCCATTTCTGTTAAATACAGAAAGCTCTGAGGAGTGCCCCCCCCCCCCGCAACAACCCCGCAAAGGCCAGCTCCCAGTACAACCCCAGAGCCTGTGGGGTGGGAATATGGAACTGGGGCTGGTGGACAGAATTTCTGCTGTGAGGGCGTAAGGAGTACAGGTTCAGAAATTGATGCCTGGGATTTCAGATGAGCTTTGGGGGGAAAGAGAGGGAGATGCATGATTTTTAGGGCGGCAGGGATGGGGCAGGGTATGGCTAGAGCTGCCCAGACTGGAGATGCTCAGCTGGGTATGGGAGCTGCAGCTGACCAGCAGGTTGTTTGAGAGTATGGGTTTGGGGCTTGAGGGTGAGGGTCACTGGTCTGATATGTAGAAACCACAGCCTTCGACGAGAAGAGATGGCGAGAGTGTGTGAAGGGGGAGAAAAGGTGCTGTGAGGAAAGTGAAGGGAATGACCCAGTGATTGCTAGGAAGGCCTGCCCACAGACTGGTCCCGCTGTCAAAAGCCTCTTTTCACCTGCCCTCCTTGGTTAGCACCATTCAGGATAAATGCCATTTCTTCAGAGTCTGTCGCTGACTCTCCTGTCTCAATTATATGCTGATATAGAGCCTGTGTTCACCCCTTACAATCCTCCTGTCTCCTCTCACTGCAGTTAGTAACACTTACCCATGAAGCTCTGTATGTAGCTGTTCATGTCTCTAGCGAGTGTCCGGTACAGGGCACATTCCCTAACTGTTTGTTAAATTAACATTCCATCCTCATTCACGCCCAATCCATTTCTGTTTTCAAGTTTTTTCAGAGCTTCCAAGCCTAGTTTTTGGCACTGCCTAGGACCTCATCCCTGGGTCTGCTGGCCCCTGCATGGTGACCTCTCCCCTGGGGGTAGGACTTTGGGAGGGAGAAAGAATGACATCAGGGGACATGCCCTAAGGACTAGAGGAACATGGTTACTTCCCTGAAATGCACTTCGAGGTAGGGCAGAGATCAGTGTCTTTGTCTTGGTGGCGATGGGGGAAGGGAGGAGGTGAGCTGGGTATCTGAGAGGCCTGCCTGGACTGATGGCACCTGTGTCTTCTGCCCTCCGTGGACAGGACGCTGATTGCCCATACCAAAGCCTTGGACCCCTCCCGGCCTGTGACCTTTGTGACCAACTCCAACTATGAAGCAGACCTGGGGGTGAGCCTGGGGGTCTCCGTACCACTTCTGTCTGACCTCTAGTCCTGCCCTGATGCTTGCTAAAATGAACTGCCGGGAAGAACTCTCTATCCACTGGGCACCATGGCTTCCTAAATCTGAGGAGGCTGGGAAGGGAAAGATTTAATTCATTCTGAGTTCAGACTCAAATTTTTATGCACTTCAGTTTAACATCCTCATAAAATGGCAGCAGTTTAAGGGAGCTCATAGGTGCCTTGGTCCAGTGTTCCTTAAACCTGGCTGATTCTCACAATCACTAAGGGAAACTTTTTGAAAGTGCAGCTCTCTGGATTCTGATTTAGTAAATTTAGGGTGGGAACATAAGTTTTTAAAAAAGCTTTAGTGATTCTACCAGGAAGTTGCTTTGGGAACCATTGACAGAGCCAGCGCCCGCTGTTGAGAATGGAAGGGACAGGCTCACCCAGCTGGCTGGACCACAGAGCCTCCCTCACTGTTCTGGCCACAACAGCTCCTGGAAACGACCCAGTGGCACTGAAGCTTTAAGGGACAGGAAATAAAAAATGCTTCTTTGCTAGAGACTTCAAGGCCAGGGCTTCAAAGGAAAGTGCTACAGAAAGAGAAATTATCCAAGGGAAGGATGGATGAGAAAACACTGTGTACAGATGTAAATTGTGAACACTCATTTTAGCCTGAAAGAAGAAAAGAATTTGTATCTTCTTGCCATCTCTCAAGAATGCCCCTTCAAAGAACCATTAAGGCTGTGCTTAAGCACTAGTGTGGCACAAGGCTGACCTCAACATTCTTGGAAACTGACTGTTTTAGTCTTCTTGTGTGGTCAGAGAAGCCTTTGTGTGGGCACCTGCCTGGCTTCTTGAGAAGGTTGCAGATTTACCTGGTGGGATGTGAACTTATGTCCACCCAGAGGCACCTTCCCAACTTCTGCCTGCACATTCCTGCCACAATTTGGGCTGTGTTCACTTGGGAAAGAGAACATATCAGACCCAGTGCAGATTTTGGAGACACATTTGTTCAAGTAGCATTAGATACTAGCTGGGCTGTCCAGTCTCTGCTACTCAGACATAAGCTCTGCATCTTGTAGACTCACAGTCCTGCTCCTTCATCTCAGCTGTCCTCTCAGGAAGGAATTTTCCAGCCAGTTTCTGGCCTACAGCACCAGCTCATGGGTGGCATGTTGGACCAAGATTCTCTGGAAGGAGAAAAACTGCATCTGTCCCTCAGTTAGGAAGAGTTCTTCAGGGCAAAGTGAGGGGAGATCAGTGGAGGAGCATTGTCCAGGGGGGAATAAAATCCAATCCGGATAGGCCCCGGGCGTCCACTGAGGTTAGCTCATTGGGCGTCTGCGCTGCCTGTCAGCTCACAGGGCCCAGCTGCCGCCGGGGGAATGTCAGCCCGCAATTAACAGACTTTCTCCATTCAGGTCACTTCTTGACAGCATCTCCTGCACTTTTGAACATCTGAATCATTTCCCGCATCTCCCACGTTGTATTCCAGAACAGCCCCACGAGTGCGAGTCCTGACTATTCTACAATCTTCTGGTTTATTTTTTTTTTAAAGATTGATTTATTTATACATATAAGAGCTGGGGTACAGGCCAGAAGTGTGGGCGGTGAGAGGATTCACCAAACAGAGTGGGGAGCAGCAGGCGAGACAGGAGAGGGCTGCTGAGCCAGTGGGTATCTCCCTGGGCAGCTGGGGGTCGAACTTTTGCTGCAAAGGTTGCGGACAGCTTCGTAAGTTGCGTCTTAACCCCTTGCGCCACCAGGGAGGCCATATACTCTTCTGCTTTTTGAACAAACCTTACCACTCTCGTCCCAGGCACCATATGTGGACGTCATCTGTGTGAACAGTTACTACTCCTGGTATCGTGACTGTGGGCACCTAGAGGTGATTCAGCCGCAACTGACAGCCCAGTTTGAGAACTGGTATAAGACCTATCAGAAGCCAATCATTCAGAGCGAGTATGGAGCAGACGCCATTGCAGGATTTCACCACGTAAGGAGTGAACAGCCTGTTTTTCATCCTTGGATAGTGATGTTACTCATCGGCCTGAGCTAGAAATGGCCTTCCCCATCCCTCTTGTATTGATCACGGCCTGCCCTTGCACTTGAAACTGCCCGCGACTCAGGCCCCTGCCCTTCTTGAGTGGTCCCCAGAGCAGTCTCCCACTAGCTGCTTACATGGTCTTCTAGCCAGTCTAAACCCAGGGAGTTTTGTCATTGCTTCTCCTGGCTATGAGGGCAGTTGCTCTCCTTTGCTCTCACTCCTTTCCTAGATCCTTGCCCTCTGCCTTCACTCCTGGACAATGTACTCTTCACGCTGCTCATTGGCTCTTCCTACTCTGGTTTGGGCTGTTCTGCCCAGAACCCATTATAGTCATCAACTAAATGGACTCTTATTCTGTGTTCATGTCCCTGTTCAGTTTACCTCACTTGCTGCAGGTGGAGTAAACTCCTCTGCTCGGTGTCCATCGCAGCATTTCTCACTGGGGACTTTGACGTCTTGGCTTCCCTTAATCACACCAAGGGCTTCACGCAAGAGACTGAAGCCTATTATTTATTGTTGCTCCCCAAGCACACAGCAGGCACTAAATATTTGTATTGGAAATGGGTGAAATCTTGGAGCAAGGTTTAATCACTAGCTTTTTCCTCACTGCTTTGTTCATTTCCTCACCAAAGATATGCTGCTTTGTCTTGTGGGGATTTTGTCGTGCGGATTCTTGAAGCACAGCCTCTTATCCCACTCCAACCACTTCACACCTGTCACAACTACTGGGATTCCCAGTGGACACACTTAATATGCTTATCCTTGGTATGCTGAGTAGGTACCCTCTTCTGTAAACAGGTAAAAAGGGGGAAATATGAAGACAATATAGATGCAAAATTATTCTCCCTCTTTGAAAAGGTAACCAACTGAGTTTTTCAGAAATGCTGAGTCCTGGTCAGTCATAGAACCTTTGGAAGGGATGAAAATATTCCGTATAAGCCCATCTCTGAGTTATTGCAGGTTCTGTTCCACATCACCGCCATAAAATGAATTTTGCAATGAAGTGGCTCACGTGAATGTTTCAGTTTCCCAGTGTATACGAAAGTTATGTTTACACTATACTGTAGTCTATTGAATATGTAATAGCATTGCCTAAATATATATACACCTTAATTTTAAAAAGTATTGCTAAAAAATATTGTCATCTGAACTTTCAGCAAATTGTGAGCTTTTTGCTATAAATCTTCAATTTGTAAAAATCAAATCTATGTACAGCTCAACAAAGTAAAGCACAATAAAATGAGGTATGCCTATATCCACAATGGTAGGCACTAACCACATGTGGATATTGGGGACTGGAAATGTTACAGGTTAGTAAGCCTGTGACTGACTTGATTAAGTTTAATTTAGTTTTAAGTTGAAATAGCTACTTGTGGCTAGGATTAGATCAAGCAGGCTCACTTCCATTAAAACAAAGGAAATCTATATTTTGCCCTGCAGTCAAATTCACCTTTAGAAATAGAATATATTTTCAGTGCATCCTATTATATAGCATTTCAGTCCTTATTGTTGGAAAAGAAAGCCAAAGCCAACAGGGTTTTGTCCTCTCCTAAAATGGCTGAACTACTACATCTGCTTAAACATCTCCGACTTAAGCCCAAAGATGCAATTTTGTTTCCAGTGTAGTTCAACTTTAAGACTGGTCTAGTGAGGAGAGATGAAAAGTAAAGCAAATATCAAATTATGTTGATAAACAAGGCAGTTACTAATTCAGTTTTTTTTTTAAAAGCTTTTTTGCTTTAGACTACATCATATCCTGGCTGTGTGTTTGTACAAGCACCAACAAGTCCCACATTTACTGCTGCCCACCGAGGACAGATATTTTGGTCATCATCATGTGGATCTTTTATTTTTATCTAACCTTTACAATTCTGACAGTTGCGACTATTAACTCCCTCTTTGCCTTGAATTCCAGGATCCATCTCTGATGTTCAGTGAAGAGTATCAGAAAAATGTGCTACAACAGTATCATTTGGTTCTGGATCAAAAGCGTAAAGAATATGTGGTTGGAGAGCTCATCTGGAATTTTGCTGATTTTATGACTGAACAGTGTAAGTAGCAGTGGTTTTTGAAATCTAACATTACTGATATTTGATATTTTAAGATTGGCTTTTCAGTTCTGGAGATTTGCTTGTAAGAATACTGGATATAAGATGGGGGTGGGAGGTGGGAAGTTGATTCAATCAATGCTACCTAATTTCTTACAATAAATTGAATTTAGCAAACAACAATTGAAACTGCCTGCTTCCTGGGTTGTTTTCCTTTATTTTTTTGGTGTAGAAGAACTGGGGTGTAGACCAGGGGTGTGGGGGTGGGGTGAGAGGACTCACCAGAGACAGAGTGGGGAGCTGAACAGGCAGATTTTACTGAAATTCACTGCTAAGGGGAGTAGCGGGTGAGACAGGAGAGATCTGCTGCACCTTATATATGTCAGCTCCCTGGCCAGGTATCAAACTCAGGTCGTAGCGGTGATAGTGCTGAGACTTAACCCCTAGGCCACCAGGGAGGCCCTATTTTATGGTTTAAAAATAAATGGGAGAGACTGTCTTGAGGCAAAAATGGCTAACTTGCCTTTGTCTGTTTCATCACAGTATGAGGAAAAAGTGGACCTCGTATTGGGTTATTTGTGGGATGTATTCGTTATTCCAGAAGAGGATACAAAGCATGAGAAACATAGTCTTTTAATATTATTCACTTGCAAAAGGCAGATTCACTAAAGACAGTTAAGTTTCAAAGTGTTTTGAACGTATGTTTCAAAGTCTTCAAAGTGAATATGACCTGCAGTCTTTCTCAAGCTGAGATAGATGAGGCTACTTCAGTTCCAAATGAAATATTTCCCCTTTGCCCCTGCACCTCAAGATTACTAGAGTTTTGATATACCATGAATTTAGGATAGCAACTTGGGAAGGATTTGGTAGTTAGTGGGAATTACATTACAAAGACAGGTTTAATTAAAAACTAGAATGGAAAGAGGTAAAGAGAAAAGAATGAGAACATGAGCTTTTACTCTGCTAGGCAATTTAGATTAAAGGTGTCTGGATTCTGAAATTCACCCTGATATTTGTGAATAGGTACACTGGCTTTGTGTAATAAGAAATTAGCTGTGTGACCTTGAACCAATCACCTACCCTTTTCCTAAGTCTGTGAAGCGGGGATGGCTGTTGCTTATCACCTTGCAGGTTGAAGTAGGGATTCTTTTTTTTTTTTAAGATTTATTTATTTATACAAGAACTGGGGTACAGGCCAGAGGCACAGGAGGGTGAGAGCATTCACCAGAGACAGAGTGAGGAACAGAATAGGCAGACTGAGGGGAGCAGCGGGTGAGACAGGAGAGGTCTGCCACGCCATGTGGGTATCTCCCTGGCCGATGAGGAATCGAACCTGCGCTGCAGGGGCTGCATGGACCTCTCCACAGCGCTGCGCTCAACCTGCTGCTCCACCAGGGAGGCCCTGAGGTAGGGATTCTAACAAATGAAGTGGTTGTCCCAGGGACTGGCATTTATTTATTGTGGAAAAAATTACCATTGTCAGGGCCTCCCTGGTGGCGCAAGGGATTAAGCTCAGCACTGTGAAGCTGTCCGCAGCCTCTGCAGCACAAGTTCAATCCCCGGCCAGCCAGGGAGCTACCCACAAGGTGCAGCAGACCTCTCCGTCTTGCCTGCTGTTCCCCTCAGCAGTATTTTAAGTCAATCTCCCTCTTCTGCTCCCCACTCTGTCTCTGGCGAATCCTCTCATCCTCTGCACCTCTGGCTGGTACCCCAGTTCTTATATGCATAAATAAATCTTAAAAAACAAAATTATCATTGCCTTGAACTTCTTGGTAGAAAAGATCTGCTTTCCATGAGCAGCATCCATGGTTTCTCTAGGGGGAGAGAGAATGTACTCTGAGAGCAGCCCTCACAGCCTTGCCAGCTTTGCTCACTCCTGGCTGCAGCGTCTGGCAGACCAGGCAGCAGTGGTGGGGACCGTGCTGGGACTCTACCAGGAGGGCTTTGAAATCTATCAGTAGATCTCACTGGGCACCTATGACTGGAGGGACTCTAGTTTCCAACAAGAGGGTCGTCTCTTCAGAAAGATGAAGCCTTTCCAGGGTCACTATGTTTTAAACCTTATTTTACAAGTAAAAGTTTTGGACTTTTTTTCCTCTACCATTCAAAAAATGTACACACTGGGGAGCTGAGGTGTTCTGGGGAGTGATAGTATTTTAACCCATTAAGTGCTCACTTCATACACCCAAGTAAGCCTCAACTGTATAAGACATTTCTATTTAGTGCCCAGCTTGGCTCCAGGTTGGTTCCAATATGGCCCACCAGAAGTCATCTGAAACACTTTTGCCTTGTTTTTAGCACCAGTAAGAGCATTGGGGAATAAAGAGGGAATCTTCACTCGTCAGAGACAACCGAAAAGTGCAGCATTCCTTTTGCGAGAGAGATACTGGAAACTTGCCAATGAAACCAGGTACCACCAGTCAGCTGCCAAGTCACGGTGTTTGGAAAACAACCCGTTTACATTTAATTTTTTTTATTTCTTTATTTTTTTTAACCCATTTACATTTTAGAGCAAAAACCATCTCTCTACTGGATAGAGACTACACCTGACCCTTCCCAAGTAAGGGGTGATTCCATAGCAAACAAAGCAAGTGCTTCCTGGATTGTGTGTGGCAGACCAGAAAGTTTCTGGTCTGGACTTTGTAATCTTCTGGCAGAACAGTAACACTGAGGTGAAAATAATAGCATTTGTAGTATGGAAATAAAGAGTTGATTTAACAGTGACCATCCATTGATTGATCGGTATTCTTGAAAAGTATGTGTGATTATTTTTGTATTGACTGTTTTCATAGCCTTACCTGCACAAGGACTCGCCAAACGTGTTTCAATACTCACATCACACGCAGAGTTGCTGCTCACAGACCATGTGCACCCAGAGGAGTAGCTCCACAGATCTAGGGCCATCGTGGTCACGTCCAAACCAGGCCAACCTTTTCTGAGTAAAAGACAACTGCTGTTAAACTCCACAGATGAGCAGAAGTCAGGACAAATTTAAAGAAAGTGATACCTGATACTGTGCCAGAATAGTCAGCAGGGTCTTTGTATCAGTTTCCACATAGCTGACAAATAAGTAGTAACAATCATTAAGAGTGAAGGAGTGTGGGCCTCCGCGGTGGCACAGCGGTTGAGTGCTGAGTTGCGAAGCTGCCCGCAGCCTCTGCAACGCCGGTTCAATCCCCGGCTGCTCCCCAGCCACCGAAGGAGGGTCCCACATGGCGCGCAGACCTCTCCTGCCACCCCCTGCTCCCCTCAGCAGTGTACTTCGGTCCTTCTGCCTGCTCAGCTCCCCACTCTGGCTCTGGTGAATTCTTTCACCCTCCCACTCTTCTGACTGTACCCAGTGCTTGTGTAAATAAATAAATAAACAAACAAACAAACAAATAAATAATTAAATAAATCTTTAAAAAAAAAAAGAGTGAAGGAGTGTCTGCATTGTAAGGGATCTTAGAGGTTACATTCCTCTAGGACACTGTTCCAACTATAGCTAAAGACTAGTCTTGACAGGAATGAACAGGTGAGCAGAAAGCGCACTGGCCCTATCACAGCTGACTCCATTCCACTTGACACCTCTTTAAGATGTCCTGGCAGACAAGTGCTTCAGGCCTTTGCACCTGAGCTCTGCTCCCAAAGGATGGTCTTTTCTTACAGAATCTTTCATCTTCAACGGCTCCATTGAAGTAACTGAGCTACATGATTCCCAAGACCTCAGTATTCATTAATCCTGATTTAAGGCTGAATGCTTTGGAAAAATATTTCTTTTGGTGTCCACTCAAATGGAAGACCATGAACCAATAGATTTTCACATAGAACTTGATTCATTTCACTTGTGGTTGATATCATGTGTACACATGCCTTTTACGCTTCCTCTCCAAAATCCATGAACAGATAATTTTACCTAATTTTATTGGGCATTTTTTGGACCAAATAAAAACGTACTCAATTCAAATAGTCGATTAAGATTTCTAGTGGTTCCGTATTTCTTTTGTTACCACTAAACTTTAAGAGACGGTTCAAGGTTCTCAAATTAAGTTCTGTGTTGCAGTTTAATGTCAAGGAATAATACTGAAAAGTCTTTACTTGACAAAGAAAATACAATGTTTTAAAACTTAGGGATAAATTTCATTTCTTAAATCTTAAGGTTCTAGCACAGAACACATTTTTTGTTCTATGCAATTAAATATTTCGAATGGATTCATCTTTCTTGAATATATTACCTTTTTCAAAGACTGTATGGGAAAACAGCTGATTTATATACATTCTGTGTGCTTCCAATCCTGTAAGCAGTAACACCTTTTTCATTAATTCTTGACATCCTCAAACTCACACCAGTTCTAAGAACTAGAATCTCTATGGATTCTGCTTGTGTCTTCTACAAGTTACATAAAACTAAAGATAAAAGGAATCAAGTCAGTATACTTGTAGAAATGAGGTCCTCTTTTTGGAAATGTAAAACTGTAGAATAAGAATGTTGGCAGCACAACTTCCACAGGTAACTTCTACATTTATTTTATACCAAAAAAGTTATGTGCAATAAATATTCTTACATATTTACATTTGTTTTTACCAGTTAGCAAAACTGTCCTAAATCTCTGATAACGAATATTTCTATCTATATTAAAGGGGAAATCTGCCCAGTGAACTCCATTTTGAATGCATGTTTACTCTGGAGCTTAAAGCACTAATAATAAATATTTTTGATGGAACATACTATACAGATCATACACCTAATACTTAGGTCATGCCTAACACAGTTTTATAACAAGACATTTCACCTTTTCTGGGCTTATTTGTGAAAAAGGTTGAACCAAGTAGCCTGGACTCCCACCCCTGCCCCTTTTGTTTTATTGAAGGGTAGTTCTCAGAAATTAGTAATCATAAGTGCTGCCTAAAATATCTAAATAGAAATGTTTCACCAATGAGTGTGTGTTGGGGGAAAATAGATGAGGACAGGGCCTCCCTGGTGGCGCAGCGGTTGAGCACTGGGTTGTGAAGCTGCCCGCAGCCTCTGCAGCGCCGGTTCGTTCCCCGGCTGCTCCCCCGCCCTCGTATGAGGGTCCAACATGGCGCGCAGACCTCTCCTGCCGCCCGCTGCTCCCCTCAGCAGTGTACTTCGGTCTTTCTGCCTGCTCTGCTCCCCGCTCTGGCTCTGGTGAATTCTCTCACCCTCCCGCCCTTCTGACCCAGTGCTTGTATAAATAAATAAATAAAGGAATACCATAAAAATTCTGCGTTTATATAGTTTTTAGAAAGAGTAGTGACAACATTTGCTGAATTTCATCTTCAGATAGTTCTGCCTATAGTATTACTCCCAATTAGGCAAACTGAGCAGCATTTTTTTTTTTAATAGAGGCATGCTTTATTTATTTGTTTGCTGGTTTGTTTGTTTTGTTTTTGTTTATACATGGCACTGGGTACAGTCAGAAGCGCGGGAGGGTGAGAGAATTCACCAGAGCCAGAGCGGGGAGCAGAGCAGGCAGAAGGACCCAAGTACACTGCTGAGGGGAGCAGCGGGTGGCAGGAGAGGTCTGCGCGCCATGTGGGACCCTCCTCCGGTGGCCGGGGAGCAGCCGGGAATCGAACCGGCGCCACAGAGGCCGCGGGCAGCTTCGCAACCCAGCGCTCAACCGCTGCGCCACCAAAGTTTACAAAGTCAATGTTTCACCCTAAAACAAACTAAACATTCAGTTAGTTAGTGCAGAAAGAAACATGGAAAACACTACAGAGCTACCCAAAGAGAAATCCTACTCTGGAGCAAATGGGCTTACACTGGTTATTTCAAAGTGATAACTGTCTGGTTGACTGGCACCAATATCATGGAAAAATATCTGCATGAAATTTAAATTGTAAGAGACTTTTCTTAAAAATGCCATTAATATTTCCAACTTTTCTGCAAAGAAATCTCATTTTCCCATCTTTAGTGTTCTGAAGGCCTTGGACTTGCAGGTCTGGTCACGTGACTCATTCTGTAAGGTTATAATTGATCCAGTTTTATGACTAGGCACAAGCTTGACTTGAATGTCCAAATTTAGTTTCTTCCTTTCAGAGGAAGGAGATGAAAGAGAACCAACCACCCCATTATTTTTGCCGTCAATGCTGGACCCACAGCTGTCAGTACTTTGCACAAGATGCTCTGTATGGACTTACTATTTTCACTATTTCTTCAGTCAGTGTTGAGCTGACAATTCTTCATTGCTACACTTCACCTACACTGTACAGTTAAGTTCTGCAGGGATGGATCCAATATTTCTACCTTTATTTACAAATATCACATAAGTGGGTTCTAGTTGAATCTACATATTTAAATCCATTGGCTAAAAACATATTACATATTGTAAACATGGCAATATTTAATACAGTATCTATTCTGAAATATTTTCATGTCATGATCACATTTGTTATACCTGAAATTTAATTTATACACATTAGAGAATTATTAGCAATGGTTGCTCACTTTACAATTGAGGGCAGGGGGCTGGGCTACATTTTATTATTTCAGAAACATCCTCAAAGTAAAGTTAAAGCTTGTCTTTGATTGGCTCGGTGTATCCTCTTTATCTTTTTTGTATCCATATTTAAAATGAAGATTGACAGAGAAAATAGCTAGGGCCCCTTCTAATTTACAGGATTTTAAAAATCAGTTTAAGATACTTAGGATAAGTGTCTGTTTTGAATTAAAAAAAAAAACAAACTGCTGCAAAATAAACTTAATGGAAAAGGGACTTCAGACTGTCAGTTAAGAGTTTGTCAGGTTGTCAGTCCTGCTTGGGCTGCAGTTGCCGTTTCCAGGCCTCGTTCAAATAACTGGTCGTTTGTAGTTGATTAGAAGAATGAAGTTCAGCACGCATGTGATGACACAGATGATGCAAAATTCCTTCAGCACAAAGTACAAAATGTAGGCCAGGTACAAAGAGCCTACTACAGACACAATGGAGGACGTCATGAGGATTAAAGCTGCAACTGCACTTGCTGTCATGCCCACAAGAGAAAGAGACACTTGGCTCAATCAGACCTTGACAGTGGAGAGAAAGTGTCTGAGTTGAAAGTAACATTTTGATTTGCTGCAGTGCTGGAATACCAATCTTATTGTAAAACACTATGCAATGTGAGAACAACTTGTCTCTTTTGTTAGGGTTATGCAGGTTGGCTCTGCAGACAGGATACCAATTTTATAACTCCAATGTTTCTAACTTGTCAAAATTCTAGGAAGTATTACTTTAGTTAAAACATGCAAAGAAAATATGCAATCTTGTAATCACTTTGCACTGGAGCTGCTTTGTAAAACTGGTAGCCCTACCTTTCCTAACGAATAAAGGAATCTGAGGACCAAAACCTCTATTGAGCAGAGAACATCTGGTGAGACCCTCTCCTGTCTTTTCCAGTTCCCTGTAGGGTAAGGAAAAATGTCAGGCTTTTCTGCCCTCCCGCCATCAGGATAGATGATGGATCCTTGAAGTTGAATGCATGCCTGATGGCGGGCACCTGGAGTAGGGTGTGGGCATAGGTAGATGGGATTCACCTGGGCTAAGACTGTGCTTTTAAGGGCGGCATCATGGAGACGCCAGAAGCAGCAGAAGCTGAGAAGCCGCAGCAGAAGCCGAAAGAGAAGCCGAGAAAGCAGCAGCAGAAGCCGAAGAGAAGCAAAGATCACCAGAGAGCCCAGATAGAGTGAGGATTTGCTGGGGGCTGGGAGGCCTGCCAGCCTCCCGGCCCCCCCAGCCCCCCTGCCTGCCACGTACCCGCTGAACCCTAATGAAAACCTGCAAAACCACTGAGGACTCTGACTCCTCCTTTACCCGGTCTGCATGGGATCCTAGAAAACCTGCTCAGTGGTCCTTCCAGCCCTTACATTCCCTATCTGTGAAATATAAAATTTGTTTTCCCATGTTTAGATCAAATTGATCAAAAGTCACAATGGGAGATGATAACACCAACAAGCTGGTGAAGGGAAAAAAAACCATGATACACATTTCAGAAAAGTCTCACCCTGGAGGATACGGGAAACATTTGACCAGTTGGCTACATGTGGATCAAACCAGATCGAGAAAGAAGGCAGTTAGTTACATCTGCTAAGTGGGGCTTTCCAGACAAAAACCTGCCCGAATTCTTGACTGACATCTTCACATGTATTGG